TCTAATTGAATTTCTTCACTGAGGTCTTCAGGAAGCTTAGGTTCCTTGACACCTCTGTAATCATTTTAGGCTGTGTAAGTTGTGAGGGTAGTCTTGCAGAGTGGTGGTGGTGGTTTAGTGACATGGAGAGAATTAGTAAACACCCACTCTGTCTTACCCAAGTTGTTTATATAATGATGAGTGGGTAATGTAATTAGAGTAAACTAAGAGTCTCAGAATTAGAATTGTCCAATTCTTTTGAGTTCTGAGAAATTAGAGTTTTTTTGTATAAGTCACTTTTATACAATAATCCTATATAGTTGTGTTCTTGGTTTTTCTGTATTAAAGAATCTAATTTTGGCTTGGTTTACTTATGAATAATGCAGTTTATGTAAAATGATTTTGTGAGATGAAAGCTCTTTGTTTTGATCTCCAGGTATTAAAATAATTATTCTTTAAAATAGCTGTACACAAAAAGACAAGTACTGTATGATTAACACTTATATGAGATGTCTCAAGTAGTTAAATTCACAGATACAGAGAATAGATGGCAGTTGTCAGGAGCTGGGGAGAAGGAGAAATGGGGAGTTGTTTAATGAGTATTAGGGTTTCAGTTTTGCAAGATGAAAAAGTTTGGGAGATCTACTGCAAAACAGTGAGTAAACTTATCATTGAACTGTATACTTTAAGATGGTAAGTTTTATGTGTATTTTACCATAGTTAAAAGTTAAATAATATCTACTTTTCATGCTACACTTACAGTGAGCACTGAGTAATGTATAGAATTGTTGAATCATTATGTTATGGACCTGAAACTAATATAAAATTGTATGTTAATTATACTTCAATTTTTAAAAATCCCTGTTTTCCATTTTTGAGATGAGAAAACCAAGGCAATAATTGTAACTAAGGAATTTAAAATGTAGCTTAATCTGTTGACTTCAGCTGAACAGATTCTTTTAGCCTCATTGTATACGTCTGTCTGTCTTCCAACTGGGTGTTGTGCTTCAGTACGGTTTTCTCCTGGGGCAACTCCTTACCCCATCTTTTTCTCTTTCTGACTTCTCAACACATTCTTACACTTACAGTCCTTCCCCAAATTGCTTGCTTGGTAGATTTTAAAAACTTTTAATAAGAAGTAGATCATAACTGAAAGTGAAGTAAGTATATAAGGTAATCTGCTGTCTCTGCCTAGAATTTTAACCTGTTACTAGGGACATTTAAGAACGTTACTGAGCAACCACTCTTGTGTCAGGCACTGTGCTAGTGTTTCCATATATGTGTTTTGAGAGTTGATTGTTTATCAGAAATAAATCAAACTGGCCAGACTGAAAGGAACTTTTGATTATTATTTTTTTAAGATGCCTTTGGCCATGGGAACATTTTTCTTCTTGGAACAACTTATAAATTCCTTAATGAGGATATATTCCTAACGAGAACATTTTGGTGTTCAAAAGTGTGCTTACATGTGTTTTACTAATATAGGGAACTAATTTCCAATATGTGGATAGCTATAATATCTCTAAAGTTTTTGTTAATGCCAGATTTATGAGATTTTTATCACTGGGGGCAGAGCTCCAGAGAAAGAGAGAGCACACATTTTCTTCTGACTCTACCACTTTATATTACTGTTCATAGGGGAATGTTGATGGCCAGCATGCTGCATCTTACTGAACGGAAGGCCATGCATCAGAATGTTTGTTTTTAGCTGTTATTTTTAGCAGCAGGTCAGAAATTGGTAACATTTTCATTTTACGGTATACTTTTTTATTTATTATGGTAATTCCAAGAAGAGTAAATAATTTTAGACATGTGTATTGAATGCCTGTGTGCATTATGCCCACGTGTGTGTGAGTGTGTGTGTGTGTGAGAGAGAGAGAGAGAGAAGAAGAAGAAAAAGACATTCTCTTAATAACAGGAGGGGTAGAGGCTTACTCAGTCTATTATCATAAAGCTCTGCTAATGTAGCTTCTGAGTCATGTGACTGCAGAAAAGGCTATTATCTCAATGAAAAGGAAACCGGTTTTTAGAGCAAGCAATAGAATAGAAGCAGGAAGAATTTTCGAGTGTTCCACCATGCTGGATTGTCAAAGGGGGATCTGTCTGATCAGCAGCTAAAAAAGGATTTGTGAGGCTAGTTTGTCAGCTATCGTTAGAAACAAATGATAGAGGAGATAAGCGGCAGGGGGCTCAGCATGTGCTTAGGTTCACATCAAGGCATAATGTTGGTCTGGTTTAATAGAGAAGATTTATCTCTGAGGCAATAAATTTATTGCTAATTGTGGGGTTTGGGGTTTGGGGAGGTTTTGTGTTTTTCTGAGGAGTGATGTATGGTATTTTTATTTACATCACTGGTGAAGATGAAGACAAGCTGCTGAGCCCTGGTTTGAACTGCAGAGGCTGTGGACAGTTACAAGGTGTGTTTCACAAGTGCTCTGACTTAATATTTGGTAATGTTCTTGGAATTCTGTGTGCTTGTGGATTGGATGTGCGTGTTGTCCAAGAGAGAACCGGGCATGACAACCAGGCAGTGATAATGTTCTCAGGAACAAATAGATTCAATGCCATCCAAATTGATTCCTTCGTGGTCCTTATTTCTTTTGTGTTTTATTTCGTGATTAAAGGTTTCTTGCAGTTACTTTATGTGGCCAAATACAATCTCATGCTTGTTTTAGAAAATATTTTGATAAGCATTTTAAGAATTCAATCCAAATCTTAATCACTAAGGAATAAATAGAAGCTTTATATGTGTATCTCTGTGGGTTTTTTTTTCAATATCCTTTTGTAATTCAGCTTAAGAGAGGTTTGCAATGAATTTGAATTTATTTAATTTTTGGTTAGGTAATAAAGCTTTCTTTTTTGGCTGAGGCCTCGAATGAATAATTTTTTTATTATATATAGTACCTAACTTTCTCTGATTTATTACATCCTTACGCTGCCACATGCAGAAAGCTAAAAACGTTCAGTTAATCTTGAGACTGTCCACTTTTTTCTCATGCTAATGCTATTAATTCTCTAGCAGTCTGTACCTTATTTTTAACCTTGGTAGGTGTAGTACTTAAAAATCTGAGATTAGGGAAAGATAATCATAAGCTTTATCTGAAAAGGGTTAACTGTTACACATTGTATACCTGAGGAATGAATTCACTAATATGTTTTTTATTTAACCTCTAGACCAGATATGCCCAACTTAGGGTGAATGTTTCCAAATCTTTTGAAAAATATTTTGAAATTGAACTGTTTTGTACATACCTTTTTTTTTATTTTGAAATTGACATTGAAGACGGTAAATCAGGCTATTATGCACTGTATAGACAGTTTACAAAGAATTAAATTATTTTATCTTTTTCAGTAAGAGATGGTGAGAATCGCTCAAACAATTTTTAATATAAGTGCAGGAAATTCTTTTCCTTTTTGTATCTACAAACCATATCTTAGCATGATAGAGTTTAATCATTCATCTTACTGAGATTTTCTTTTTAAAAAGACACTGGCACTTCAGTTAATCTACTTATAGACAGCTTGATTCAAATAAACAGTTAATTAACTGTGATTGTGATCATTCTAGAATTTTTTTTTTAAATCATAGGACTCTCCCACATTCTTCTAAGTAGGCTTTAAGACAAAGTTATATACTGGTTTCAGCCCAAAATTCACTAGCATCATATGTTAAAATTTTTGAATAATAAAATTTGTATAGCCAGACTAATTGAGTTTTCCTTATTTTTGCTTTAAAAAAATTTTTTTTGTTGTTGCCTTACCTGCCTTTAAAGCAATGCAAGGGTTCTGGAAAAACTCAAGGTGTTTTTACTGAGCACCTGCTATTATTACAAGATACTCTTTGAAACGCTATGAGAAGACAAGGGCAAATAAGATATTTAAATCAATAAGATAACTTAAAGATGGCACTGGAACCCAGCCTCAATAAATGTAATTATCCTGGATCTTACAGGACTTTTAAATTGTTAAAAAGGGATTTTTTGTAAAACTTATTTGGCTAATCAGAGAATACATTTCTGATAACTTTGCAACTTTTTACATGAGCAGGTTTGAATGGTAATTTTAATCAGTCTCCATTTGTGCCAGTTCATGTTTCCTTTTTATCATAACAGAAATACGTTCATTTTATTTGCAGTCCTCTAAAACTAGAATAGTTTTTGTTTCTGATCTTGTTTTTCTCCTAGGATGTCAAATACCAGTCCTTTACAACTTTAAATTACTTTTGTAAAAGGATAAATAATATATTGTGTTATCTACAAATAACTTTACTTTTGGAGGCTGGGGAGTAAGAACCCCAATCTTATTGTTAGAGTTAAAAGAAGTTTTGACGTCAGGGTAGTGTCTAAACAGGCCAGATTGACTAGCTTGCAAATCCTGCTACACTTAAGAATTCCAACCACAGTAATTAACCACAAATATTATAACCAGGTCTGATCTTGTCAGGCTGAGGGGGTTTGCTTCTTGAAACGATTTTTTTTTTAAAGATTTTATTTATTTATTTGCTAGAGAGAGAGAGTGAGAATACAAGCAGGGGGAGCAGCAGGCAGAGGGAGAAGCAGGCTCCCCACTGAGCAAGGAGCCCCATGAAGAGCTCAATCCCAGGATCCTGGGATCATGACCTGAGCCGAAGGCAGCCGCTTAACCGACTGAGACTCCCAGGCATCCCACAATTTTTAATTTATAGGAAAGATAGGGTAAGAAAATACCGAATTAAAGGTGGTCTTAGTATTCAATGCTGTAAAACTCCATCAAATACGTTCATAGAGTTTTTAGGGTTTTTTTTTTTTTTTTGAGAAAGTCAAAGTTTGGGAAGATTTTGGTAAGATGAAGGTGTTGGGCTGTATTTTAGACAGTTTAATTCTTTGAAAGCCAAGGGGATATAAAATTCATGAAGTGAAAAAGTCTGTGTAATAGCTAACAAATTGTTCCAAGGTACCTTTTACAGGGTTTACTCTAAAGTTGATCACCCATAAATGCTGAGAAAAGTTTAGAGTCGATTGGATTGCCCATTTCTCTCATAGGTGTTGCTGTCCTTAACGTTAGAGAGAGAAGACTTGGCATTTTCTGGTGTGTAGTTAACAGGTGTAGCAGTGACTCTTTCACCAAGCTTATAGTTAACACGCAGAGTTACAACTTGTAATATGATAATCACTAATATAGTATAGCATAGACCTATATTTGCTTTAAATGTAAAGATTAACTTAGTTATTACTATTTATATGTTTTTAAAGATTTTGTGAGAAACACCAGATGCTGTAATTTTGACCTTGAATGAATTGTTCTTTAAAAACCAGCCAAGTTGAGCAATATTTTGAAGTAGAAGCTGGTTCCATCATTTTAGATATCAAATCAAATTATAATAATTAATTGGCTAGAATAAAGTGTTGTAAAAGCACTCTATAAGACATATTTAAAATTCGTGTTTTGTGTCTAAATCCTTAGATTCAAGTTGAAATGAATGATAAATATTATGCAAAAACTTTCTTGGATAACAAGTTACTTTTGAAGCATTTAATGGTTTTTTTAATTGGCCGTTCCAAGTTTTTGCTTTCCCGTTTTAGAATTTTAAGTGAGAAAATAATCAATTTCAAATGTTATTTTTGTGTATGTTTATTAAAGATAATATTTTGTGGGATTTTATCTCTCCCACCTTGTGATGAGGAAAATGACAGTAGCAAAACAATTAATGGTGATTTTGTTAACCATAAAGTTAACTTTCATGTGGAGCTCATCGTGTGCCAGGCGGAGTTCTGAGGACCTCACATAGGTTCGTTTAATATTTATAGCAACACTGACTGTGCTGTCCTCTACCTGTTTCACAGTTGAGGAAACAGACACAGAGAGGTAAAGTAACTTGTCCAAGCTCACACAGCTTAATGAGGAGTAGAGTTGGATTCAAACAGGTAGTTTGCCTTCAGAGTCTATGCTCTAAATTACTATGTAACTGGGTTCAAGTGGTATTGCCGGTTTATTCTGGAAAGAGAACAGGATGAACAGAGGGACAAGGAGAGAACTGTGTTAATTAAGACTGAAATGATTTTGTTTCTCCGTGTTTGTACTTTGATGAGTTTTACTTCTGTTCCATTTCAAATAGGTAAGATTAAAACATCATTCAAATGGTGTTTGGTTTGCACTGAAAAGAAACATGTTCATGAAAAGTAACTCAGCTAATGCAGAAATCTGCTTTCGAGGAAGGTGATATGAGGGAGAGCATTAATATGGGGTAACAGAGATTGGTATAAGAAATGGGCTGTGAATTGCCATGAGATTAGTGGGGCGAGGAGAAGTTCTGAGTTGTGGGATCTGAAAGATGTGTATCACATATTTTCTTACTTAGCTACTTCTCCTTTTTCTTGGCAAATGGAGACCTTGCTGTTTCCAAGGTCCTTTACTCACTGCATTGCTATGATGGAGCATGCAGGTATAAAAACCACAGAGAATCCAAATTAATATCCTTGTTTTCAGACACCGAGAGCAAACACCTCTGGAATATAAACCATTGCCTTAAGATTTGTTGTAAGTCATTTTATAGCCACACAAATTCCCTAGAGAGGAGTTCCTGTCCAGATAGTCTTTCAGATAGGGACCCCTTATACTTCGTCACACTTGAACAGCTAACAAGCATATTTATTTCTAGGTGATGTCCCTCGTTCTCGTCAGTATTCATGGTAGAAAAGGTTTGACCTACTAAATCCTTGTAAATCGGACCCTTGGGAGGGAGTGGGAGAGCAAAGTATGGGCATAGCTTTATCATTTGTCTTTGGTCTCCCTTGATATACCCTCCATCTTATTGCTAAAATGCAAAAATAGCCAGTTTTATTTTTGCACTTAAATCCTCCTGTTCATTTATTTAACAACTGTTTAGTGTAGGATTTTGTTAGGTGCTTCACTAGTACAGGAGAAGAGTAGCTGACTGTCCCTGGGGGTGAGGAGAGGAGAGGATTGATCAGGGGACACTCAGCAGAGATGTTAAAGGTTGAGTTGATTCTTAGATGATCACCAGGCACTGGTGGACGTACAGAACACTTTGGGCCTCTACTGCCCATCCTAGGAGCCGCTAGCCACAGGTGGCTTTTGATCATTTGAAATGTGGCCAGTCTGAATTGAGTGCAGAGTGCACTCAGATTTTGAAGACACTGCCAAAAAAAGAATGTAAAATATCTCAGTAATTTTTAAAGTATTGATTGCATGTTGAAAAGATACTATTTTGAATACAATGGTGGCTACTAGACAGTGGTGGCTCCTGATATCTTCTGTTGTCTGTGTTGCTCTGAGCCAAGAGGACAGCATGTGTAAAGGGAGGTGGTGTTAGGTAGTAGTCTTTCTCATAGATGATACATCTGTGCCAGACATAAGGGATACACTAATGAGCATAGACCCTTCCCAAGCCCACTGTCTTCTAATCAGTAGTCAGATTAGAAGTAACCAGCAATTTCTTGAAGTCTACATTCCTTGGTGTAGGGAATAAAAGGCCCTTTCATGATCTCGCTCTACCCTTCTAGATTCATGCCACCCCCCTAAACATTGGCACCTACAGACACTCTCCCATGTTCTACATTTAATGAAAACTACAGCTGATGTACGTTATTCACGGGAGTTATGTTCTATAAGTCATGGCAAACACTGAATTAGTGAATGCTGAGCCATTGCTTCTAGGGAAGATACGGAGTTAGGTGTCTGTGTCTCTGGTCACAACATTTTAGTTATTCGATTAATGCATACCTTTATTTTAAGTGTTTCTGTTAAATACACCTTACTTAACATATATTAACACTTATCACCAACAGCATTATAACTTGGGCCTGAATGAAGCTTATCTAACACATATATTTTCTCCATAATGTACATCACAGAGTCTTGTACTTAGGAACACTAGACTTCACTTCACTACTATGCTTGGAGGCCATTTAAAACAGGGAAGTCACCAACAAAGAGCACAAAAATGTGAAAAATGTGGCCCTGACTATACTGCAGCAAGAATACTTCTTTTACAGTGTAAGAATTGAAACAAGGCAGTGTCACTTTGTTCACATAGGAAGTGCTATTTGTGGAGTACCTATAAGGAGCCGCCAAGTAGTTCAGGTAATAATGACTCTGGCTCTCTATTATGAGGCAATTTCTATGTATCAGGCTGTGTACTTTAATAGTTGATCTCTTTCAATTTTCATACAAACTTAGGAAGTGATTATTCTGAATTTTACAGACATGGAAACTGAGGCTCAGAGAGGTTAAGTACCTTTCCCAGTGTGTTGCACAGCTAATGAGTGATGAAAGCAAGAGATGAGCCAGGCTTTAGCTGACTCGGGGGCCAAGTTAGGGGATGCAGTTAAATAAACCTGTCATTCTCAGTAGGGCTTTTGTCTTTGGTGGGAGGGGTGGAGTTGTAGCCTATGGTCTACAAGTGCCCCTGCTTCCATATCCGTTTGATAGCCTGAATATTGAAATCTGGAAGAACTGAGCCCGTGATACAATTTGCTGTGAAGAAAGGCTGAGAACCACCATATATTTGTTGACTGTGGTGGCAAAGGTGCTCTCCGTCTGCTTTAGCTGCTTCTGTTTCACCAGCTAATCAGACATTTCAAATTCAATGCATATCTTTTTTCTGCTTTGTAACTTTGGTTCATTCATTGCTCCATATGCCTTTATTATCTTGTGGTTTCCTTCTTTGTGTCTTTTCAACTTCTCTCTCTGCCCACGAACAGCTCTCGTATATTCCACAGACTGAAAATCTGTTAGACTCAACGGATCACCATTATCTTTGCCTGGGAAGAACTTTCGTGCCAGATCACTCCAGTAGACCAGTGGGCAGCCTGTAGACTGGACACCTGCCTGCATCAAGTGCCAGTAGAGCAGTGTCTCATGGTATCGTGATGGTCTTTTTCTGTGAGGAGCTGGATAAAAGCTGCCTTGGAACAGTCCCTTGTGGGTCTTTAGGAAGGGGTGTGGGCATGGCTTGTTAGGTTCAGAATGGAGTGCAAAAGTGTCTGGTACTATGTGACATTTACAGAGACCATCTATGGGACTCTGCGTCTTGTGTTTCTTCACATCGGAAATTAGAAGACTGATTTAAGTTCCCTGACTTTTCTACTTGGTTGTTCGTAGAGTTTAGTCTTTCATTTAGATAAGCTAGTATATATGTTTATTATCAGAGTTAACCATTGCTGAGTTATATACAGCTACCTCTGCCAGGGTTGAAATAGAATTCCTACAGTGACCCATTCCAGAGGCCCCTTCTGGCTTCTCCGATTTGATCTCTCATCACCTCCAGATTATTTCAACTCCCAGGTAACCTTAAGACAGTGGGAATAGATTCTGGAACATAATTTTCTAATGTACTTTGTTGGATATGTTATCAGGGCACCTAGGATTAAGTAGGGGGAGAGACAAGGTAACAGATATAAGCAGGAAGTTGTTTCTTGTACAAGGATTATTGTGAGCAGAATGTACCAAAGTGAGAGAAATTGACCCAGTTATTGCCAGACACAAAAAACAGATTTTCACTGGTATAGAAGGACTGGGCTGCAGGTATAGAGAAAAATTGGGGCACAGTTGAACTTATGGCGGCCTGGCATAATCCTAAATGTCTGAACCACCTAAGTTCATCATAACTTTGTGGTTCAGGCAAGTGATGCACTGTATTCACTGTGGTTACAGTTGGTACCTAAAGGTTGTGGGATTAGTCTGCGGGCTGGAAATGAACAGAAGCACAAATAGGCATATCACTGTGACATGAGAACTCAAAAGGAAATTCAGGGAAAAGGAAAGTTTGTGTTTCCTTTGTGATGCCGAGAGGAGAGAACAAATCTGATTTGTTCATAGCATAGCATTGTACGGTCATTTTGGGTCCTCTTTTGGATGTTCGGTTCACATTGGAAGGTCATTAGTTACCGACAAGTGGCAACGCCAACCACATCTGGCAATTCTCGTGTGAATGATCTGTCCCTTTCATGACGTTACAGTTGAAGATCCCCATGGATAGACATTCCACAAACTTTGAGGGTGTTATGTTCTTTTTTTTTTCTAACAATATTTTACCTAGATCATTTTCTTGTACTGTCATCAACAACTCTCCTGCTATATAT